TGATACAATTTTTGCTTTTAGGCTTATGAATTTAGCAGATGCTTTTATCCAAAGTGACTTACAATAGAGGAACATAAGCAACTGTTCACAGAGCCAACAACATACTAAGCAAGGTTTATTAGACAGATTAAGAAAACAAACTAGATCAGACCAGAGAAATGCAGAAACGAAAATATACATTCATTGGTTTGTATATACATTCTTTGGATTTTCATAAAGTAAAACATTCCTGTCATGACAACTCTCGGAGTGTTTGGCATGGTAATGGATATGGCAATGTTGATATGATTGGTCTTGGCGGAATAGATCTGCTGCTGCTGCTGCTGCATATTCAATTGTATTCAATATGGCAGCAACTTTTATTACAGTGTAGGATTACTTGATTACTTGTTTTTTTTTTTTGATGCACCCAGATTGTATCTGTCCCATAAATGTAATAATTTTTACTGTTAAACATTTGTGATGCATTTACTTGATTAAATGCTCCCATATCCCTTTACACACATTCACATAACCACGCTCGCTCGTCCGTCATCAATCAAAGGGAGATTTTCGAAATTACAGCTTTGAATGAAAGAGAATCGTTCCCTTCAATTACAGGGAGTAACAGGCAATCACAGGTTTGATGTATCCTGTATAGTATGACACACCAGGGACTGTGAAATGAATTTAGCTCTCCCCGAAGAAGAAAACAAACACTGTGACTCACACCCAGCACAGCAGCAGATCAAGGCTCTGTAACATATTAGCAGTCGATTAATAACATACTGCTTTTTCGATCTGAGACAAAAAAAAAGTTCAACCTCACCATGAGTCAAAGACGAACGTTCATGAACAGAAAGCCTATGACTCAACAGAAATGTGAAGCTGATTTGGCTACATTGTGAAGACGCAGATACATTCAGGACTGCTGCATGGTGCCATTTCAATTGAGTTTAGAGCATATTGTTATATAATAGAAGCGTTTGAGAGCTATATTTAGAGTGGCCTTGCAGCAAGTCGCGTGGAACGCTGATGAAAGCTATGGCAACCTGTTTAATTTCACGTTATGAAGAGCACTATCACTCAGTTTAATGAAGCTGTTTAGCAAGTTCATTGACAACGATATCAGCCCTCAAGGAAAAGCCAGTTTTGGATGTTTTTTCTATATTTAAAAAAAAAAAAAGCCAATGATTTTGCTGGTGGTGTAAGGGATATTATTAAAGTTGCAATGAATAGCGACAGAACTTTTTTTTCTATATTGTGATGTACATCCGAGTGAAATGGATTATCAATAAAAGGAAGAAAAGTGGATGGGGACTTGGTTCTTTCCATCGGATAAGGTAGATGAGAGCTTGTAGTCAATTGTAAGAAAGGGCGGGGTTTAAGCAGGCTAAATGATTGGAGAAGTCTGGCATACATCACCAGAAAGAAGCCTGTTGTTGAATGATTGAGTTGTGATAACACAATCTCATGTCAATTCTTAACTATTTTTTATTTTGCTGAATTGGTGGCTAATTTGCATGGATTACAATACAATTACAATTACAATCTCAATCAAACGTTTCTGTATGAACTGTTATGTTTTGGGGTAGGTCTTATTGTTTACTTTTTGTAATGTTTTCGAATCATATGAATTCATACGAAATCATTACCTCATAAAATAGTTTTGTTTTGGAGTGAAATTGGGTTGGATATTTCAATTAAAAAAATGACGAGGTCAAAAAAATTATAATAACAAAAAAGATGAATGGGGGAATTTTCCTTTCATGCCGACTTTAAGAATCACAGCCGAGAGGCAACTAGCAACACCAAAGCTTTCATGACATGAGCCACGGTGACATTTTGTCCTGACTTGTTTCTTGTAAGATGAGGTTTATGGGATTTGTAACAAATATAAAAAAAAAATTTTTGCCAACTCTATGTTCACCTAGTGAAGTTGTATAGACACATCACTAAATGAGTGATTGCTTACTTTCCACTTACTATTTTTGTATTTGTGTGTGTGTGTGTGAGAGAGAGAGAGAGTGAGAGAGATAGAGAGAGAGAGGGGGGCTAAAAGATGACTCACCTATTTACAGAGGGGTGTAACATTGCCATTGATGCAGGAGAGCGCACCATATTTCATTCTCGCATTCATTCACACATTTTGTCTAATAAACCATATTAGTGAACAAGTTATACAATTATACCCTACAATTACATGAAAAGGTATGTGAACCTACATGTTAGCTGACACTAAACTCCAGATTTTGAAGGTTTTGAAGAAGCTGTTAGCAATACTCTTTCCACTCTGTACTGTGAATGTTTTATTGTAAAAAAAAATTGTTTTACAATTAATTGCTTGAGCAGACTGTGTTTGTTAGTTTTTGGGAATCTGGATTTAGAGACTTCCAGCACCTGTTTAACTAGTGCTTTTTCCATTTCATGTCCAATTGTAGACAGCATAAACAATTCACAAACATTTTAGTAAGAAGTAAAAAAAGGTTTATGAATACTTTCTTTTCTTCAAACAGAAACCAGCTCCACAATACATTGCATAGCCCTAAAAATGTATTTTCTTCTATGGACTCCAGGCTCCCACGAATTAAGTAACATAGTAAAGCATATGAGATCAGACGATCATTTGTGCTATGTACCATTTCTTTTAAATGTAAATATTTAAATGTAAGTATAGTAGAGTAGACATTTGCTTTGAAGTTTTTAAGGTTGTAACCTACTATAGGTAGGAGAAACCAGAGATCAGACATCACTGTCTGATGTGCAGATGTTTCTTTGAGGAACAAGCATGAATAATAGATCAGACAACAAAGTGTTCTCTCACAGTGGAGTTTCCCAGCAGGGAGCAACACTGATTTTATAATCTGCCTCCCTATTGGGGATATAGTTATGGTGCCATGATCATTACCGTTTTAAAACCTTGTGTAAATATGAGTGATCTGTGAATTGGATGAAGAGAGTGAGCAAAAACAGATAGGCCTGTGTTGTGGGGAAATGTTTTTGTAAGAATGAGATTATCACAGAGGATTCCAGTCATTGTCCAAAGTGACACGTCCACTCATCTGTCACCCAAGATAGAGGTCAGTGGTTTTCAAAGCTCAGTCAATATTCACTCTGAAAAAGCAATGGATTAGACTACAATAAACATCTTCTCCCTACCCTTTTACATTGTTATATAATTTCTAATTAATTTTTAAAAAAAAACTTTGAAAGAAAAAAACTTTCTCAGTTTGGAATCTGGGGCTTTTTAGTCTATAGTTTAAACTCGAAGTATTTACTTATTATGCTGAAATAATATTTTAAAAAAATCATAGAATAAAATTCAGATCGGCCAAGGAAGTTTAGAGCCTCGGCTGGACATTCACTCTCGTTTCGCTCCTGGCCCTTTAAAAGTCTCTTTTTGCGGTGGAGAAACATCTGGTTGTTGAATGAAACCCAGTCATTCATAAAAACAGGAGAGAGACCTGCTCTGATTGGCTGTCTACAGCCTCACGATCACATTGGTAATGTAGTGACAGCTATTGGTCAATCACTTGAATGACATGGTGGACTAGCCAATGAGCGTGATTTACAGTGTTAAGCCGATGCTCTTGGAAAAGCAAGCGATCCCATTGAGAAAATTTCAGTCGCGTCAAGCTGAGGGAGAGTGCGATCCTGTTAGTGCTTTCAAAAAGCAGTCTGTTTTTCTCTTGGAATTATTAAATCACTTTTTTTTCAAAAGCAAAGGATTTAATCACCGTTGGGTGAGTATATTTTGCTCGCTGCCCTAGCGTTTTATTGTTTAATTATGACCCGATGCAAGTTTCATCTTCTGCTTTTATTTTAATAAAGTTGTATTAATTAAAACGGCGCGTTTAGTTTTGCTGGTTCGCAACGCCATTTTCTTTGTGCGCATATTTGGCAACCATTTCCCCAGTTTCTCAGTACTTTATTAAGCTTATTGTAAACTTAATCATGATCGCGAGTTTGCGCTCTGCAAAATCCATATGCGGTTTGGCGAAGTGCTTCTCGCGCGTTTGGTGTTTTTATGAATGGAACGTCTGAGGTTTTTTCGGGTAGCGCGCACGATGGATCAAATTTCACTTCATTGAGAAAAACAAGCGTCCGAGGGAAGGAAGGGAGGGAGGGGGAGCGCGCGGCGATAATGGGCGCTGGGGGGGAAGGGATTGAACTTCTTGAACTCGCTCTTATACCTGTTAACTCGCTGTTGTAATGCTATAATCTCGCTTTACTTATTCAACAACTATAGCTTCCGCTGGCTGTCTTTTATTATCGCCAATAAAAATCTTTAAAAGCACAAACTCTCATTTTTCTGCATGAAATGTGCAGACGCACGTTGCTCCTGTTTTATAAAGGTCTGATAAGCTTCAGGAAGCAATAATGTTAAGCGATGGATGTTTAATTAGTTCTTGGTCCAGAGAGGTTGGCTCACTGTGAGGTGTTTTCTTGGCCTCGCGGCTGTAATACGATTTTATGGCTTGAACACTTGCGTCAGGGAAAATAAACACACGTGTGTGACGAAGCGTGAATAGCTTGGGATTCTTTTTTTTTTTTTTTTTACGCCGCCGGTCCACTATTTAAATCCGAACCTTATTTGTGTTAATAAAAGCTGCTTTTTTATTATTACTTATTTTAATTATCACTTTCGTATAGATTCATTCTTAGTATGGGGTCTTGGATAGTCTGTTGGGCAGCAGATGGTACTGTATGGTTATGTAAGGACCCCCATATGTACCGTGAGCCTTTTAAACGGTGTGTGTGTGTGCGTGAGAGAGAGAAGAGGCTGAGCAAGTGTAAGTGTCCTGCACTAATGCAGCACACTTCATCTGAGCAGAAGCTGAGAGTGAGTGTGTTACACAAACAAACATGCATGCTGAAGTTTTCACAGATCAAAGGGACAGTTGGTCCTAAACTGACAGGTCCCGGGACGATCACTGACAGCTGCATCAGATCCTGACTTGTCTTTCTCTAAGTGCCACTTTTCTCGGCTCTTCTTCCGACAGGCGACGATATCACCCCCCCCTTTATCCCTGTTTATTCCCGCTTTCCCTCCTGCTGCAGCCCTAGGCCGCAGTGAGAAGCAAGCGACATGGACGGATTTTACGACCAGCAGGTCCCTTTCGTGGTGCCCCCCAATGTACGTCGCTGCTTTAACTTTTCATGCCTCATTTTCTTTACTTTTTAGATATTTCACTACAGAATATCCATCTGTGGATGGCTGTACACAACGATCACTTGTTCCAACTTTCATTATTTGATCTTGGTCTTATTTTACAGAAGTCTCACATGCCGGAAACATTTAGCAGAACCTTCAATGACCGAAAAAGGAAGTTTGTTGACACTGAGCTGGCACAGGATACAGAGGGTAAACAAATGAGCATGCAATCAATCCATCCAGATCTCCCTAAAACACATCATTTAACCCAGGCCCAAACAAGTCAGCCTGTTTATTCACAAATCAATCTTTGTGTTCCACAGATCTCTTTCAAGATCTCAGCCAGCTACAAGAGATTTGGATTGCAGAAGGTACGTCAGCAGCTCTAGGATAGTGGTTATGGAATACATTTCATAACTACTGTTAAAACACAACTTGGTGGTTAATGCATCATCTCAGTGGTTGATCTCTGGGGCCCCATTCAAATTGTATAAGACAATGTGGCATATATAAACATGCAAATTATTTATATTCATTATAAATATTTCATGCCTTTATTCACTGACTCTGAAGCAGGTTTGCAAGCCAGTCAGTATAAATAGTTTTCCTTCTCCATGTGCAGCCCAGGTACCCGATGACGAACAGTTTGTTCCAGATTTCCAGTCGGATAACTGTGAGTACCTTTTGAATATTCATGTAGCAAGGAAGTGGGGTTGGTTGCAGAATAGCATATAGAACTTGCCTTTATGAATTATAGAAACTCCCGGCATATGAAAAACATTTATTTATTTATACTGCTCAAGTTATTAGCACTGGATAATTTGCTATGGACATTCTGAAGCGTTTTGAGATGCATTACACCTTCCTCCGTGAAACCAAGAAAATGAATCGCTAAGAGTTTCTGTGCCAAACCTTATTCCTAGCCATGAGTTTAAGATGTTTCTATGGTGTGAGTGTGTGTGTTCACACACATGTGAGGCCCAGTCTGCCGCTGCGGTGCTCTAACTCATGGCAGCCTCCAGCTTGGTGACATTTTAATGGGGCTGGATCCTCGGCGCACACACACACTCTGGTTATTATGTGCTGGTGAACAGTGCTCTGGCTGTTTCCCTTGTTAGCTTTTCTTCCATTTGGCTCTGAATAAGTCTTAATTGTGTGCATTTCAATGGTGTTTCTTGTAGAATGTGAATGCACATGGATGTGTTTGCATAGAAATTGTGTGTGAGAGGGTATGTGTGTGTTTGTCTGGCACAATTCCTCTTATCTGGCATCGTGCCTGTAGTTCTCACAGGCCCCTCTTTCACCACAGCTGGGCAGTGGGGCCCTTTTCCAGAGGAATTACGCGATAGTCTGCGAGTTCGAACTTGCGGCCTCCTTTTCTAGAAGGAAAGGCCTTTTTTCCTTCCCCCTCTTTAAAAGGAGTAGTTCTAGTAGTTAAGTACTAAATATTTATCAAACAGCTGACACCAGAAACAAACTAGGTTGGGTTCCAAGTTAAAGAACTGTATTTTTGTTCTGGCATTTTAGTTTATGTAGACGCGATGTATTCAATGAAATGAAAAACTTTCTTTTTAGTGATGTTCCATGGACCTCTTCAAACTAAAGTAAAGAGGGAACTGAGCCCGAGCAGGGAATTTTCCCCCTGTGGACAAGAGCAGAGACTCTCTCCATATGGAGAGAAGTGCCTATATAACTACAGGTATATTTCCTTGTCCTTTCCCCATCTTTCCCTTCTCCATATTCCCCTCACTCATGCTTTATTTGTTTTGTCGATTTTAGTGCCTTCGACAGGAAGCCATTTCCTTTCAACAAGCCACTGACTCCTCCTCCTACACCAGCATCACCCTTTGGCTCCTCCACCAGCACAGTAACACATCATGTGCAAAAAAGAGCAATGCAACCAGCCCAAACGCAGACACAAGGACTGCCACTATTACCTGTCCTAAACCCCAGTTCTACCCCACCACATCAGAGAGCACATACTCCACTCCACAGTCAAAGCCCACCTTTTGCTGTGCCCTGCCAACCTGTCAATCACCCAGATGCCTCCTACAGTACAGACCACAGGTAGGAATATATGACATCTTGCAATTTATTAGGTTTCCGACACTTCACAGTCATTTTTTTGGGTCACGGTGATCGATTTCTAACCTCATTTCTTTCTTTGACTTCAGCTTGAGCTGCTCGTGCATGTTAAAAGTACTGTAATCAGCTCAGGTTGAGCCTTTCATTGGGTATTATCTTGTTAAAGATGCCAGACTGACCTGGAAAGCAGTTCTATGTTTATCCCATTCGAGTCTCCAGGTTATACTGGGAAAAAAGAGCTTTAACACCAGACTTATCCCTTTGACATGAAACTCATGATCTCAGTTGCCCTTGATGTTAATGCCTTCTCATGTCTTTTCTCCACTTTTTCCTCTTTCTCTTACTCTTCATCTCGTTAGGTTCCATCGGCAGCTTTCCGAGCCCTGTCTGCCGTTCTCACAGTCCGACGGTCGTTGTCAGACACCTTACCACCCACACACCCGTGGCCATTTTCCCCGACATAGCCGCCCCCCTTATCACCGGCAGATGTCAGAGCCGTTGGTGCCAATGCCTCCCCAGGGATTCAAAAAGGAAATGGTGGATCCTCGTTACAATGACCAGGGTGTGCAAAACATGGGGCCTCCTCGTGCACCATTGATCCACCAACTGTCAATCAAACAGGAGCCCAGAGACTTCGGCTTTGACTCAGGTGGGTGTAAATCTCTCAGAGATTTTGGATTCAGTCCCTGTGAAGCATGTAGTGCTGTAATGAGAAATCCTTTTAGCTCCCACTAGGTCAAATGTACTGATGGCTGTGGAACTGTCAAAATAGTGACATTTTAAAAGCAAAAAAAGGTCCATTGTGTATAATGTAGTGATGTATGAAGCACAGCTCACACACAAGTCCCTTACTGTTGGTCAAGATGGCAAAATTCGTGTGACCAATTTAATCTGAAGATGAAATGTGCATGGGGAAATCTTTTGCCCTGAAGGGAAATTCCCAGTAGATTCCTATAGAAATGACTCCTAGGAACTCCAATGAACTTGAAATTCCAAACTTTACATTATATTGTATATATTTGAAAATGATTATTAATGTGATGATTTTATAAAGTGGAACACTGATAAGAACTCTGATGTATATATTTTTGAAAAAAAAAAATTATTGGGATTTTTATATAAAGGGACACTGATAAACTTGAACTTCCAAACATTGTTATATTTTATATATTTTATTAATATTCGTGTGATTTTTTTTTTTTAATAATTTTTTTTAATTGTCTTGCAGAAGTACAGAATTGCCAGTCATCTTTTGGCAAATCAGCAAATTTCTATGGCGCCAACAGCGAGGGTGAGGCTTTTATCAGTTTAGTTTCACCTACTATTTCCATAAAGTGCAGATGTTTTATTAAGCAACAGCTTCTGTTATAATGAGAGTTCTTTCTCAGACTGTCCATATTAAATCCACATTGTTTTTCTCTGACTGTCAATTGCAGGTTTTGGGTATGATGGAGAATCCCACCTCTATTATGATGATGCGTGTGTGGTCCCAGACCGCCTGGAGGGAAAGCTGAAGCAGGAGGGTGGAGTTTTTCGGGAGGGTCCCCCGTATCAACGAAGGGGGTCTCTGCAACTCTGGCAGTTCCTGGTCACTCTGTTGGACGACCCATCCAACCGCCACTTCATTGCTTGGACTGGCCGTGGGCTCGAGTTTAAACTCATTGAACCAGAGGAGGTCAGTGTGTTATGAAAGCCAATAGCTTTATAGCCCATTTTTATTTCAGCCAACAAGCAGTTTAACACCCACATTTTCAATAGGTTGCTCGCCGTTGGGGTATCCAGAAGAACAGGCCTGCAATGAATTATGACAAGCTGAGCCGTTCTCTGCGTTACTACTATGAGAAGGGCATCATGCAGAAGGTAAAGGCACGTTCACGTTCCAATGTCATTTTTCTTCTTTCAATTCCTTAATAATTAGATTGTAGTTCCCTCATTACCTGCAGTTAATAAAATCCACCCCATCAAAGCATATCAGCTTTTTCCAAACAAGATTTTCTAAAACATCTCACTCTCTCTCTCTCGGTCATATGCAGGTTGCTGGAGAGCGGTACGTGTATAAGTTTGTGTGTGATCCCGATGCACTCTTCTCCATGGCATTCCCTGACAACCAGAGGCCCAGTCTGAAGGCAGACCCCGATGGGATGCAGGTTCCTGAGGATGACACCGTTCCACTCTCACACTTTGACGAGACTAACAGCATCCCTTATCCAGCAGATGCCAGGGACCAGTGCTTAGTGGGGCCGTCCTTTCCTGAAAATTATGCTTTCTGAACTGTTTCACTACCAGAACTGTAAAATGCATCCTCGCACTCCAAATGCAGCTCACGTCAAATTGTAATCGCTCCAATGAGGAATCTGTAACGCCTGCTGAAAAGTCTCTAGACTTTCTTGCCACATTTTTATCGGTCATTTGTTTGTTACTACACAGGTTCCATTATAGAAAAATGTTTGCTTTTTTAAATGTACACATAAAAAGTAAAGGGACACAAAAGTGTTTTTTAGTATAACCTTTGATTTTTATATATATATATATATATATATATATATATATATATATATATATATATATATATATATATATATATATATATATATATATAAATAAATAAAATCAAAGGTAATACTGAAAAATACTGTTGCTTTCTTTGTGTATTGGGCCTAGTGTCTATTTTTCAATGCTGTACTTCAGCGAGTTTTTTAGAACACTTCTGACAATGCATAATGATGCACCTCAGGCTGTGTTGTAATTATCTGTGTATATAACTTTGATTTATAATCTGGAGAAATGCACAATTTTTCTCCAGCTGGCCAAGTAAAATCTTTATAACTGTTCATAAATAGTCATTTCAACTGCTTTTGTAATGTGATTTTTATGGATATGGGGTGGGGTAGAATAGGCAAAAGGAGAGCAGGGGAAATGAAAAGTGAACAATCTATGTATATTATGAGTATATTTTTGCAAAAGCAGAATTGAATAGCATTGTATAAGCTGTGCAACAGACTTTTATCATTTGTAATCTGTTCTGTTTGTACAGTGGTGTGTGTGAAATTGAAAACCAGCTCTTGATATAGGGGGAAATCGAGGATGAAAAGCCAGATTGCTGATTCAGGATCAGTCATGCTTGTGTGACCTTTAACTGTTTACCAAAGGATTAGAGCAAGGCCATCTGATCACTGTTCAGTAGTAAACCAGCATGGCAAGAAACCCGTTAGCTCTTTCCACATTCACTGTCAACCTACCTTGTCTTTCCTGGGTACAACAGACCCCTAGTTCTGTTTCACTGTGGATAAAAACTGTTGTTTCATTGTCTTTTGAAGGCAATTTCTTTCATTAAGAATTTTTAAGTACAGTTTTGGTGTACAATTACAGACCTGTATTTTCTAAACTATAAAAGTACAGGATAATAAATGTCCATAAACAGATATGGTTCTTTTTGGATACAGTTTGTTTGTTTGTTTTTTTGTCTCATTTATAGCCAGTGGCACATCACCTACACTTTGAGAACGTATTTGGGGTAAATGAACAAAGTAAAGAGCATTATGACGGTCAATAATACACTAAGGCCTGGTTTTACAGACAGGGCTTAGATTAAGCCAGGATTAGACCTTAGTTTTTTAGGGCATTTAAGTAGCTTTTATACGTAAATGTGCCTAAAAAACATTACTGGTGTGCATCCTGAGACAAGACAATGGCAATGGCAAGACAATATTTTATGATATGCCAGTGCAAGTTGCTTTCACTTAAAACCACTTAAACATGCCTTTTAGTCTGGGACCAGTTTAAGGCTTGCCTGTGAAACCAGGGGTACATGAATTTTGCTCAGATTTGCAGTCTGGACGAATCGAATCGATTCTTGGTGATGAAATTCAGAGCAGTCTGCAGATTCTGGGCAGTTCGAGGTGACAGATTTCACAGAAAATCATGTAGTATGATGGGCACAGACAAAAAAAATGTTGTTTCAGTTTTAGTTTACACAGCAACAACGATGAAAAACAGAAAAGTTTTTCCTTCACGTTTTTCGCATACAGACGACAACATTGTCAAAACGATCCCCATTCACACATGCCAGTAGTTGGCGATGTCACTTTGTAAATAAAAACGAATCGGTTACCTAACGTAACCTCGGTTCTCTCTAGAAGAGGGAACGAGTATTGCGTAAGCTAGCTTACGCTGCGGGAAAGATTCATCTTTGCTGAGATATTGAAGCCAAAAAATTATTTCATAATTTGTATCCATACACAACGCAGTTCCTCTGCGGCAGACCTAGAGCAGGCTAGCTAGCAGCTCATTGGTTCGCTCAGAGAGAACTGCTTAAGCCTATGGGAGAGCGGGGCTGAACCCGCTTCCAATGAGAGGCGCCCGCGCGCTCATTGCGTCATGGCCCGCCAGAATGGGCGTGGTCATGGTGTATATAACAGTCTCTCCCAGGCTTATATGTTGATTTATTTCAGCGTGAAGCGAAACGCTAGTAGCGCAAGCACGGCCGGGAACGCAATACTCGTTCCCTCTTCTAGAGAGAACCGAGGTTACGTTAGGTAACCGATTCGTTCTCTTACGAGAGGTTCTCTCGTATTGCGTAAGCTAGCTTACGCTGCGGGAACACCTGGTCAACGCCGTGCGCGCTATGAATCCACTCATGAATCCCAGGGTGATACCGGGGGATTTTTAACGTGGAGTGAATGTATTATGAGGCCGGCAGAGCGGGCCCATGAAGTGTATACATAAGCATGTATGAGGCCGGCAGAGCGGGCACATGAAGTGTATAAGCATTTAAGGAGAGTACAAGGGGCGAACCGGTTGTGTGAGGGACTCCCAGTAATGCAGCTTCTTAGGGAGCTGGTCGTTTAGACAGCTAGTAATTTTGCCTGCAAGGCGGGAACTTCCAAGTTGTAAAATCTGACAAAAGTGGACGGGGAGGCCCATCCCGCGGCCACACAAATGTCATGAATGGAAATTCCACAGGACCATGCCCACGATGAGGCCATGCCTCTAGTGGAGTGCGCCCTGATGCCCAGAGGGCAGGGCAGGCATTTAGATGCGTAAGCAGAGGCGATAGCGTCTACTATCCATCTAGACAGTGTCTGTTTAGAGGCGGCCAGACCTTTGGTGCGCCCCCCAAACGACACGAAAAGCTGCTCAGCGCGTCTGAACGCGGCAGCGCGCGTAGTGTACAATCTCAGAGCCCGCACCGGGCAGAGGAGATTGGCGTCGCGCTCACTATCGGATGAAGGCAGAGCCGATAGGGAAATAATCTGAGCCCTGAACGGGGTACCAATCGCCTTCGGGACATAACCATGTCTAGGTTTGAGAATGACAACAGATTCATTCGGACCAAACTCGAGACACGCGGCGCTGGATGAGAGCGCGTGAAGATCCCCCACGCGTTTTACTGAGGACAGAGCCGTCAGAAAAACGGTTTTGAGCGAGAGGTATTTTAGGTCCACAGACTCGAGCGGTTCGAACGGGGGTGCTTTCATAGCTTCGAGAACTATAGAAAGATCCCAGATAGGAACCGAAGGGGGGCGCGGAGGGTTCATCCTCTTAGCTCCCCTGAGGAAGCGGATGACTAACTCGTCTTTGCCCAGGGACTGAGCGCGTCGGGGTTCAGAGAACGCCGCGACGGCTGCCACGTAAACCTTGAGAGTGGAGGGGGACCTGCCCTTGTCCAGCATCTCTTGAAGGAAAACAAGCAAAGACGGCACCTCGCATGACCGTGGGTCCAGATGTTTGTCGGTGCACCATTTTGAGAACACAGACCATTTAGACGCATAGAGCCTTCTCGTGGAAGGTGCTCTAGCCTGTATGATAGTGTTTCTTACTCCTTCTGGCAAATCAACGAATAGTCGTTGATCACCCATGCATGTAGCGCCCAGCGCCGTGGATGGGGGTGCCAGATCGTGCCGCGAGCCTGAGAGAGGAGATCTGCTCTGACTGGGATGGGCCACGGGGCTGTCTGCGACAGCTGAGTGAGCTCCGGAACCCAATTCTGACTCTCCCAATGCGGGGCTATGAGGAGCACCGAGTGGCGTGTGTCCCTGATCCTCTGAATTACCTGTGGTAGCAGAGCGATCGGAGGGAAAGCATAGAGCGGGCGGCGAGGCCATTCCTGGGCTAGCGCGTCCTCGCTCCTTGAGAAAAATATTGGGCAGTGAGCGTTCTCTTCTGACGCGAAGAGGTCCACCTCTGCTCTGCCGAATAGCCGCCACAGTATTTGGACCGTTTGTGTGTTCAGGGACCATTCTCCTGAGGAGATGAGGTTCCTGGACAGTATGTCTGGACCGTCGTTCAGATGGCCCGGCACATGCGTCGCTCTGAGCGAGAGCAGGCGGCTCTGAGACCAAACTAAAATGCGGTGTGTCAGTAGGAAGAGATTCCTGGACCTGACACCGCCCTCACGGTTGAGATAGGAGACCACAGCCATGTTGTCCGAACGGATCAGGACGTGGTGTCCCCGAATGAGCGAGAGGAAGCGCGAAAGCGCGTTCTCGACCGCAAGCATTTCCAGACAGTTTATGTGTAAAGGGCTTTCCTGTGTCGACCAATGGCCGAAGGCCGGTGAGCCCTCGCAGACTGCACCCCAACCCGTGTTGGATGCATCTGTCGAGATGACTTTTCGGCGAGAAAAGGTCCCCATCGTGACGCCCTGTCGAAACCATTCTACTACTGTCCATGGCTGCAGCGCCGTGAGACATGTCTGCGTAACTCTGATCAGCTGGCGGCCCGTGTTCCACGCGCGGTGGGGTACACGGCTGTTTAACCAAAGCTGAAGCGGACGCATGTGCAGAAGGCCCAGCTGAAGTACAGCGGAGGCTGAGGCCATGTAACCCAGAATCCTCTGAAAAGTTTTCAGAGGTGAGCGGGTGCCCATCTGAAACGAGGCGGCCAGTCGCTGTACACTGCGCGCGCGCTGTGTAGACAGGCGAGCCGTCATTGTGACCGAGTTCAAATCTATTCCTAGAAAGGAAATCGATTGACTGGGTTGAAGGGAGCTCTTTGTCCAGTTGACAGAGAGGCCCAGCGTTTTCAGATGGTCGAGGAGAACTGCGCGGTGCGACAGAAGCTCCGTCTGTGATTGGGCCAAAATCAGCCAGTCGTCCAGATAATTCAATATGCGCAGCCCCTGGCTCCGCAGGGGGGCGAGCGCCGTATCCATGCACTTCGTAAATGTGCGGGGCGCCAGAGATAAGCCGAACGGGAGAACGGCGTATTGATAAACATGACCCTCGAAGGCGAAACGTAAGAATGGCCTGTGACAGGGATTTATCTGGATCTGAAAATAGGCGTCTTTCAGGTCTAGAGAGATGAACCAGTCCCCCTGGCGCACCTGCGCGAGGAGTTTCCTGGTAGTGAGCATCTTGAACGGTCTCTTCATGAGCACTTTGTTCAAAGACCTGAGATCTAAAATCGGTCTGAGGCCGCCGTCTTTCTTGGGAACCAGAAAATAACGTCCGTAAAACCCCGACTCGGTCATAGATGGTGGGACTCTCTCTATGGCG